AACGATCCTCCCATAATCCTTTCCGTAGGCAGGGGGGATGGGTGCCGGAGAGGGTGTCAGGGGGGGGGGGGGGGGGCATCCTCAGGGAGAGATTTTGCAGTGGATCGAGGGTTCAAACACACCGAATAGTGGAGGTGTGCCGGTAACAGGATCGTCGCGCTTGTGAATGGCTCTCATTCCGTTTGTTAACTGCTGGTGCTATTAATTGTATCATCTACCAACTACTACTACTACTACTTACTACTACTACTACTGCTGCTACTACTACTACTACTGTTGGTGGTGGTGTCGTTGGTTGTTGCTGTCTTTCAGAGTTTCTTCGGCGGGAATTGGGTAACTACTCCTGCCTGGCGGCCAGCGCAGTAGTAGCGCCGGCAACCAAAGAAACAACGACATGCAAACGATAGCCGCATACCACGACACGACTGCAAGCTAGATACATGTCTCCCTCCCTCCCTCCCTCCCTCCCTCCCTCCCTCCCTCTCCCTCTCCCTCTCCCTAAACCACTCACATCGACGCTGAGCTTCGGCAGCCCCATGTCGTCGAGCGCCTCGCCACCGCCCGTCGACGCCCCCGACGGCGGCGGCGGCACGATGATCGACCCCCTCCTCTTCCCGGCCTCCCGAACCTTCTCCATGTTCGACTGCAGGTCGAGGCAGCGCTGCTCCGCCTCCCTGAGCTTCGCCCTCAGCTCCTCCTCCCGGTCGTGGATCTCCTTGTCCTCTCCCTCCTTCGCGTGGGCCTTCGCTTGCTCCTTTTGGAGGGTAGCATGGGGGGGCGGGGGGGAGGAGTTGTTCTTCGTGACCATGGAACTCGTTGTCCTTTTATCGTGCGGGGGTTCGGGTAGGGGGCGGGGGCGGGGGTGTTGTCGTGTGTGATGATGGAACTCATTGCCCTTTTATTTTTGGGAGGGGTTCGGGTCGGGGGGAGGGGTTGTTCTGCGTGATTGTGGAACTCGTTGTCCATGCTTCTCTCTCCCTAGACGGGCGTGGGCCTTTCGCGTGTGGCACTATTGTCTCTATTGGCGGAGCAAGCGAGAGGAGAAAAAGAGGCGTGTTCCCGGCGGCGGTTTTACGATACTACCATGACGAACAGCTCTCTCTCTCTCTCTCTCTCTCTCTCTCTCTCTCTCTCTCTCTCTCTCTCTCTCGCACGTCGTCGTTTCCGCGACAAGCCGCCCGGTCCATAGGGCGCGCCGGGTTATCGCCCGCCAGAGAGGCATCGATTGCACCCGCGCAATGTACAAAAAAAAGGAGACAGGCGTTGTTGTGTGTGCGGTAAGTTTGGGGCGGGGGGTAGCCTCTTGTGCGCGCCACTCTGTGGGAACACGTGGCAGTCTGCTGGCAGCCTCTCTGTTCTCGTCTTCCTTCCGACCTTGAGGACACGGAACAGGTCGTTGCTGTCGTCCTCCTCCTCGAACAGCGAGTCGCCCTTGCCGCTTCCCCTTCCCTCGCGAGGGCTACCGCCGCTGAACAAAAGATAACGGCAACGAGGAACGGCGGTAGAAAGGGAGGGGACGGGAGGAGGGTGAGAGGGGAAGAGATGAATAGCAATAACGAGCGTGGGGAAAACTGAGAAGGAGAAACGCCCAACAACAACAAAAACAACAACAACCGCGAGCAGCAACAGCGACTGTGTGTCTGTTTGTAGACCAGGAACCGCTGCTATGTATACAGTGAGCCCCCGTGTTGAAAAAACGTCAATTTGGGGGTCGAGGCTCCATTTCTTGTTTCGTCACCACTGGTCATTGTATAGAGTTTAGTGTAGGGTCCACGGCTGGCTGAGGTGTGTTTGCAGGGCGGTTTTCCTAATTTATCGCCAAGATGAGCCTTTTTTTTTCTTCGAGGTTTGTTTCTTAATCAACCTGTACCGGTCGGCCGAGCTCCTGCCGCTGCGGAGGGCGGGCGTTGCGGATGCATTGGCCCCGAGCTGTAGCTTGGGCAAGTCCGGCGACAAGTGGCACTTCGATGAAGATTCGCCATCCTGTGTTCACCAGGTGTCGCGAGTGGAGAACGGGAGAGGGGGGTTCGCTGAGACAGGAGTCCCGGTCACTCCAAGCCATTGATTGCCTCGGTGGAAGAGTGTGTGTGTGTGTGTGTGTGTGTGTGTGTGTGTGTGTGTGTGAACCGATCTATTTCTTAGTTGTACGCATCCATCCGTAAGATATCAATGAAAATAGATCTCCCAGATGGAGCGGTGACTATCCGTCGAAGCGTTCCAAGCCAAAACACCTCGAGTTAAGCATGAAAACTAGACCCGAGGGTGTGTTTGCCGTGCTGGTTAGTCTGCATGATAGGGATGTATGTACCTGAGACGCCCTTGGCCTGCCGTTCTCCCCTCCCCCCCGCGGGCTACCGCCTCCGGTGCTTCCTCTCGCAGACCTTCGAGGACGCAAGAGAAAGAGAAACAGACAGGCCGAGAGACGAGAAAACTCAGCGTCTCTCTGGCGACGGTAGAGCACGTGTACTTTTGGGAACGGGAGGTCAGTGATGTCTTGTCGAGAAAAAAACTTTGTAAAGATTAAGACACAGTTGTTTGTTGTTTGTTGTTTGTTGTTGTTGTTGTTGTTGTTGTTGTTGTTGTTGTTGGTGGTGGTGGTGTTGGTGTTGGCATTTCGGATAAGGGCGATGATTCTTCTTCCTGTGGTATCGACTCAGGGACCTTCGCAGCCGAGTGGAATGCGGAGGGGGGCGGGGGGCGAGCAGGAGCCTCTCGAGACACCAGACAACCGGCATAGGTCTCAATGAAAGGAGCTTGTCTTGTGGCCTCTCGAAGAACGCATCGCTGCCCTCTGCATGAAAACGGCGAAGGAAAGACCTCGATTGGCCAAAGATCGGTTCGAGAACCCTACGGTATAATGAAAGGAAAATTCGCGTGTGCGTCGACTCCCGGGGATTTTTTTCGCTTTTGCGATACATACAACGACAACGAAGGAGGGGGGAGGCAAAACGTCTCTAGCTCCATCGGTCTGTGAGGCGAATCGTCAAGCCGAATGACGAACTGCTCAAAAATATACCCCAAGGTTAAGAAGGTTACACACCGGGAGCTGACTTCGCCGCCTCCGCTGGAGTTGTTCGAGTTGGTCCCGCTCTTCGACCGGCGGCGGGTCGGGTTCACAACGTAGTCCGTCGCCTCCTGTTGTTGTTTTTCGGGGGGGGGGGGGGGGAGTTACACACGACGAAAGAAGGCGTTGGCCTATGCATCATGCGGTGAACGTTTTTGGTCGCGGTCGGCGCGTCACCGGGCGCATGGGTTTATTGCTGGCCGTTCGCTCTTCGGCACAAGCAGCACGTTCTCGCGCAGCAAGCAGGTAGACACATGTGAGCAGAAGGTACCGAAGCCGCGACTGATTCCAACAAGGAGTGGACGGGTTGAAGGCAGGGAGGACGAAAAAATGTGTGGTACCAGTGGGGATGATTGGGGAGACATCATATCTCTTGGTGGGTGCACAAGATCCACGCCCCAAGGCTCGACGCGGAGGGGAGGGACACGACGGTCCACGTAATAACGGGTGTGGCACCCTTTAGGTGAACCTTAGCCTTTTATTGCCCGTACCCTGGATGGCTGTAGTTTACGAAAAAGTGCACTGCAAAGAGTGGTACTCTGCATATACTGAAAAAGTGTAGTACACGTCTCACCACGAAAAAAGGGGGGGACTGCTGTCGCTAATATAAATAGGACGAAACACACACACACACACCCTATACATAGCCAGACAACGCTGAGGTTTCGCGACAACGAGTCGCCGGGAGCGGCATCAACAAACCCTCCCGAATCGCCCAACCTGCGTGTATAAAAACACAGCAGTGCCAAAGGCTACATTGCATCAACACGCGCATGATCCTACACTGCACTCAAAGCCCCGCCTTGGTACTGTCGTGAAATTCGAAGTATGGCGCAAATTTAAGGTTATTCTTTCTAACATCGTCCCAGCGGGTGCCGTCTACGGTTCCCGGGGAAGGACTCGGCTAAGAAAGCACCCAGGACCAAGACTGGCCCTCGCTGCAGACTTCAATGAACGAATGATGACGCCGTGCATGTACGGCCGCTCGTCTTCAATCTCGGCGAAAAGAGCCCCTCTCTCTCTGTGCGTTCGATATTATTACTGAAGTTCAGGGTTATGCAGGGGGTTAGGCGCGCTTGTCAAAGCCAACACACACAAGTTTTTATCACATTCCTTTTTTGTATTGTCGACATCTGACGGACGAAACCTCGGACGAGGAGGACTGTCGACCTCCCTGCTCTCATGGCACGGTGTCCCGTACCTTAGCAGTCACCAAGCTCAATCCCGGTCATATGGTCATGTTCTAAATGTCCAAGGAAATTTGACGTTTACCTTTGTTACAGGCGTTGAGTTCGGTCTTGCTACAATTATCGTGGGTTGTTACCGTTTTGAAGTACGTTAGGCCGGGTACATGTGGCCGGCGGGGTGCTTTGCAGACCACGGTTGACTTCACCCGACCGACCTCGCACAAGAATGCACACAACAAACACTCTCTCCAACCCCTGTGTCTGACTGACCTTGGGGCGCCCGAGAGACTGCCGAGGTGCCCCCGTAGGACCCTTCGCAACGGCGCTTCCCCCGCCCCCGTCCCCGTCCCCGTCGCCGTCGAGCTTCTCCGCTGCGGCGACCGCGAGGGCCATCGCCTTGTCCACGTCGCTCATGCCGGCGCCTGGCCCTCGCGCGGACTGAGAGCCGTTGTTGGATCCCCCCCGTGGCGAGTCGTTGCCCCCAGAGGGCGAGGCGGGGGTGGACAGAGACTTCCTTCGGCTCTGGAGGGGGCTCGTGGCCAGGCTCCCCAGCCGCTGTTGTTGTTGTTGTTAACGGGGGCATGACGGCGTGAAGAGGTGGTCAGGAGGTGTGGGGGTACGGTCGGGGTGCGTCCGTGTGTGCGTTGTTGCCACGCCTTTGTGGGTTGTGTTGCGGTTTCGCCCGCGGGTGCGTATGTCGTACATGTCGCCAGGAATTTAGAAGAACAATTGGTACACGTACACACGGCCTACCAGATGATGTTGTTTTGGTGGTAGAAACGTCTTCCGTTTTCAGCCACGCCGAGACTGACGTCTCTTCACCGTTCAGCTAGCCGGTTAGCAGCGCGGTCGATGCTAATTGTCACACACGGACGCACGCACGCACACCTGGAGTATACTAGGCCTCCTGCCGCGGGTGTGCGACCCGTCTCCGTCGCCACCGCCCCCACCGGTACCGGTATCGCCATTGTCCGGAGATCCCGGAGATCCCGGAGATCCTGGGTAGCGAGGAGATCCGCTGCCGATCCTGCCGCCCTCTCCCCCCATGGGAGAGTTGGAGCGGGAGAGGCTGGCGCGGCGTCGGCGCTCCGCGGCCTTGCGGCGGAGGCGGTTCAAGGCCATTTCCGCGGCGATGCGTTTCTCCTCCTCTAGTTCCAACTGGGGGGGGGGGGGGGGGGGGGGGGGGGG